AGTCCTTATTTGTTGTTGGGTTTCGTTGTTCTCGGTGAGGTTCGCATCATGAGAGGTGATGCTTGAATTCATATTAAAGTTAAATTCAAATAAATTCTCTACTAGAAGAGTTTTGGAGAACTCCTCTTGGTTTTGGAACTCAACATTCAAGTGATCCCATATGTATTTCATTTTCTTATACTCACTATAAGTTATAGCTAGACGATGATTTAGAGAGTTTAGCAAATAATCTCTACAAAAATCTTCATATTTGTTTCATTGCTATTCATCCACATTTTTTATGGTAGATACAAAATCACTTAATACAGTGTAGAATATTTAATGCTCTTTTATACCAAATTGAACACATAATTTCCAACTATGAAATTAAGTAACATTAAATGATTGCAGCTTTATAATTTCATAGGAACTATGTTTAGCTATTTTTAATTAGATAAAAGTTATAAAGAGTGCACTTTGGAGTTCACAGAATTCATAAAGTTAAACAAAGCCTTTAACTTTCATCAACCACCCTGTAGAGTTAGAATTTGTCAAAATAGATCGAGAGTGCCCAAATCCTTAAGATGGACCCCTATTGCCAGAAACTTGCAAAAATATTACCCGGCTATTAGAATATTCCCTTATAGAAAATTCTCTATTCTGCTGGAATATTCTTGGGAAATATTCTTTTTTCGCTAAAATATTCTTTCACAAGAAATCATACCTGAAACTTTCAATGGTTGTATCTCCTTTGTTTGACCATTGTTTAAGGCGAATGACTAGTCAAAATGATCATTTCAACGTGTAGAACAAAGCTCAATAGGTTCCACTCTTGAAAATAGCTAAATTTTTTGGGATTTGGATCGAAAGGTTGTGGGTGCAATATCTTCAAACAGATCTTGGAAAATCTTTCTTTCAAATCACAAAAGTGATTATGTAAGATTCCAAAATGAAAATAGAGCATCTTGCCTCACCACCCACTTCAGATTTTTCTTCCCACTTCCCCTTTCTTTCACATTCAGACCCACTCATCATGTCACTCACCTAGCCATTTATTTTTGTCTTCCACTCTCACTTTCCACTTAAAATATCACGATCTCCATCTTTTCTTCAATTCTTCTTCTCTTGTGGATCATCACTGATTCTTAAGCCACAACAGAAGGTTTTCAAAGGTGGAGAGGAAAGGGAAAATACTCTTCAGAATTCAAGAAATAGAGGTATGGTTGAGAAACTAACATCACTATCAACTAAGTCCTTTTAGAGAACACTTCTTCTTCTTCCTTGAAAACTCGGTTATGATGACATGCTTCAAAAATCAAGTATCCTTTTGTGTGGATTATTTTGTATCTTAACATATTTTGACGATTATGATGATTGTTTATGCTTTGGTGGGTTATTTTTCATGAAAGGGAAAAACTATTTTGGGGTAATTTATGATGAAAATATTTTGTATTATACTATACAATTATTTTTCTGATGTATTAAAAACACATATAGATGAATTTGAACCACTATTAAGGAAGAAAGATGGTAATTTCATGAGATATGATGAATTCTGATCGAAATCTGGGTTCTATCGAACAAATAATGAATTACCAGGCAAAAATAAACAATTACCTGATGAACTTTGAAGAATTAATCGATTACTAGTGAACAGTATTCAATTACCTCGAATAGTAATCGATTATCATTGAACATTAATCGATTACCAGTGAATAGTGAACAGTACCGTATATATGAACAGTGAACTAGTGAACTTGTATAAATGAACAGTGCATGTGAATAGTATCCGAATTTTATTTTATTTAAAACATGTAATATTGAATGCCATGAAATGCTATTGTTATCTATGAGTTATAAGTTTATATTGCTACAAAATATATGTATACATGTTTATGAGAATAAGTATTGATACTATTAGATACAGGCAGCTGCTATATGCAGATGCGATAGCTTATCTGGAGCTTAAGAGCCGTAATAACATGTTACAAAAAGAATGATTGATACAACTTATGTTATTATTATAAGATGAAGTACATATATAGTAGCACAGGGGGGACATAAGATTTCACATAGTAGCTTTAAGATGACGACTAGTATAGTTTTAGTTGACACCCATGAGAGACACTTCACGTATCTCGAACTCAATTTACATACAGGTCAACTAGTGCGCAGAACACACATTTAGCAGATTGGACAAGGCCAAATGCTCAGAAAGCACACTCATATATATATATATATATATATATATATATATATATATATATAGGAAAGGAATTCTCATGTTATAGGAGAATTCTTTCTCCTACTAGTGATACATCAAAATGTGTGCAACAACTTTTTTTTTTTTTTAATGGGAGGTGGGACCCATCACATCTTATGTCTATAGTAGGAGAAAAAATTATCATACAACATGAGAAAAGAGGGACCCATATATATATATATTAGATTTGCCAAGGTCAAGTGCACAGAATGCACACTTAGCAGCTTATCATAGTAGCCAAGGCTACATAGTTTAAATATCAGCTTATTATTATTATATGAGGCCAAGGCCATACAACTTATGTATTTATTATTTAATGAGTAGTTTTCACATTAACAATTGATGATAAAATGATAGTTTTGAAAAGCATAGGTATATGTTTATGGTCTAACTTTGCAGGTATGTATGTCTGAACTTTCGAATGCCACTTGGTATTTGGTCGAGTTAACTTGGTTTAGAATAAGGAGTTGTCTCTTTAGGTACTTACTGAGATTCGCATCTCACCCCTGTTGGAGATTTCATTTCAGGTAAAAAGGAGCAAGACGGTGGACCCGGAAGTGCTTGATCTATTTTCTTAGATGATGTTCTCAATGTTAAACAATAATTGTGAACTTTATATTTAGTCGGAGTGACTTAAAAATAGTGTACTTGAAATTTAAGTATCTAAGACAATCTTGTAATGTATTGACTTTCAGTTTGATAATAATGGATGACTATATAATTATCTGCCTGTTATTTTATTTATGTTTGGTATGTCAACTCATGTCAACTCTGGATTAGGATGTTACAGAATACACTTGTTAGTTCTTCTCAATGAGATATTCGAATTAACACCTTACTCTCTCAAATCTGACACACAAAGCTAATACTTAAGACTGTTAGAGGTTATGGGTTTGAGAAAAAATGGTTTGGAGTTGCTTGAATTATTATACCACTGGTTGGCCATCCCGATCCTCTTGGATCGAGCAATGTTTAATAAGAGTAACTTTAAAATATTTAAAAATAAATAAAAGAAATATTTAAGAAACTATTTTATATTACCTCATTATTTTACATAGCTATCAAATAAAAAGAAAATAATTAAAGCATTCATTTCTCTATCCAAATATACCTGCATGTTATCTTCTAAGTAGTCAAGATCACAAAGTAAAATAGTTATTTGGGAAAGGAAGGAGTATAGATTGATGTTAAAAAAATAAAAAAGAGGAGAATACACTTTTTTTTTTTTGGTAGACAGAGGGGAATGCACTTTATTCAAGCTCTTATTTGAATATAATAAATGGAAAGAAAAAGGAGCGGTCAAGTTTTTTTTTTTTTTTTTGGTGAAAAAAGGAATGGTCAAGTTTGTTGATATAAAATTATAAATACTGTATTTCCGAGTCAATTGTAAACTCTATTTTAAGACAAACATATCTTTCACCAATTCCACCACATATAAATTAAATTATATTTACCTTTGTTCCAGGAAATAATCAACCGAAATTTCTTATGAGCTGCGTATATCTATTTAAATAGTAAGCGAAATGGAAAGAGACTCCAAATGCCAACGGGAGATGATTTATTTGCTTGACTTTGAGATTATTACAACTTCAAAACTTATATTTAAATTAAAAAGTCAGTTGATAAAAGTTGAACTCCATATCAACTATAAATTCCTCACTTATGTTCATGATAATTTTAATATGGGAAAAAATGTTTGTCATTTTAAGATAGAGATAGATACAAAATAATTTTTTTATTTAAAATTTAAATTAAAAAAAATCACCCACTTTCTCTCTCCTATGATTTTTATTTTTTGTGTCTATTTCTCTCCTAAAATGACATAACTTATATCATTTAAAATGACAAACACCAAACCCATTTATATGTATTTTAATATTGTAGAATAAAAGTTTATAAAAATTATTAATTAAATAGTATCGATTATAAACAAAAGAAAATAATTTAATTAAATTAACTTTTATTAAAATATTATTTTATATTATTCTATTATACTATCTATCACTTATTAATATTAAGATAAAATTAAAAAACAATTAGTTTTCTAAAAGGATAAATATAAAAAGAAAAACAATTTAAAAAAAAAAAGCTAAGAAAGTAATCAGTGTAACATTGCAGTCTTCCACCAAACATAAAATAGGGTAGACACTTGAGAGTGAGAAGCACATTTTCATGCATGCAATTAACAAATCCAATAAAAATGTCAAATTGAACATCACATTCATGTTATCGGAATATCCGTGTTTTTTAAATATTTTCAAGACTTGAGCAGCTAGTATGAACCCATTTTCATTTAAATACATAAGGGCGAAAAAAGAAAAACTAATTAAATAAGAAGAAAAGGCATGAATTGGACCCATCCCATCCCCTAGGGTAATATGAAAAAAAAAAACTAATAAAAAGAAATAATTTGAAAACCCCGTGCAAATATTATATTACTAGCCCTACATATACCAGTTAATTTTTATTTTAACTTTTTTTTTTTTTTACTTTTTTGATATTTTCTAATTCCGGAAGAATAATATCATTCCATATATAATTTTTACAGAAAATGTTATACTTATCACCTTTTCTATAAGCGTTAGATAGGAGTGACTAAAACAATAGGAAGTTGAGAGGAAGAGTGGAGGAGATGGAGAAAAAAATTTATATCAAACGCGTCGATTTGATTTCATCTAAAATTTTACATTGAGAGAGGTAATAAAAAGATGGTAAACTTAGTTATATTTTCATTATACAAAAGATCATGAACTAGGAATCATCTCATGTACCGATTCAGAGACCGTTCTTTTTGTAACTTTAAATCTTCATTGAACTTTCTTATAAAAGCTTCGGCGCGCTGATTCAACTCGTTCTGATCAAGTGAGGTCTCTTTCCTCGAGCTCGCAGCACATACCATGGGATGATTGGGGTCGATCCTCTTCCTCCTCTCCTTAAACGTCTCTGATTTCTTCTTCATTACCATTTCTTGACCCTTTGTTATCTCATTCCACACTTCCTCCATTGTAGGCGATTCTAATAATCCATCTTCTTGGACTGCGTTCACCGTCACATGCACGTCCAACGAAGGCTCTAGACCTTCTTCTATAGGCACAGGATCATAAACCGGAGGTGAATGAGAACGGTGGAACATGGAGGAGGCGACGACGGTGATGATGATAATGGTATTTAGGAGGAGGAAGCGGTAAGGTGGCTTGAAGCACGAGAGACACAAGTTCCACGTGAGAGGCACGTGCATAACCAAGAATTCTTTGATCAATCGAACTAATACATTAAGTCCCAACACAATGAACACAAGACCAGCGAAGATGAAGAAAACTTTGAGAGAAATGAGTAATGACATTTTGAAGAGTTGTTTAGTTTGGATAATTGAGGAATACAAAGGTTAGGTTATTTATATAGGATAGGAGAGGGTAAGTCATGATGAAATGTGAGCCGTTAGATAGAGAATTATTTTGATTTAGGTGACAAAAGGGATAGATCAAGTGGCCTACTTCGTTGTTCATGTGGTGTGTTGGCACCAGCTAATTTTTTTAAATGGTATAATTTTTTTTAAAAAAAATTATGGTACAATCTTACTATTAGTTGAGTTTTTATAAATAATACAATCTTAGCATCAGTTAAATTTTATATGGTTGAATTTTTTAGCGCCAACTGAGTTTTATTTCTGTCTCCGCCACTTATTGCATGGGTGACATGCTAATTTCCATACAACTATCTGATTGAGATGCTATATTCCATCCCAGTGATCTAAGATTCTGAAGTCTTAAGGTTTAATTTTGTGCAATATCTGATAAAGGGACCGTACAATGACACCCAAAGGTAAATCCATATATTTGGTTTGGACATGTCGCACCGTGATTATAGGAGTTTGTGGATGAAATCTGCACGAACAACATACGGACTTGAATATCCTTAACTTTTTTTTTTATGCTTTTGCTCTATATGGATAGAAGATTGTCCACTTGATCAAGCATAGACTTTAGCTCTACTTGGTCCCTATTGGTGACTCGTAATAGATAAAATGGTCGGCTCAATAAACAACAAAAAGGTATAAACTTTAGAGTTTTACTCAATTAATCGATAAATTAAATTGATTTTTGTTTGTCTGAATGAAGAAAATACCAGGTATGATGTGGTCGAAAAGAAACCATAATCCCGAATGGATTTGTAATCTACTTTTTTTAAATATTTTTTATTAATTCATTTGACTAATCTGATTTGAGCCCAACATAATAAGGGCAATAAATTTTTCTCTGCCAAATTTTAAATACAACTACTCATTCAAATTTAAATTTGAGACTACTACTTAAACTTGAACATTCCATTTGGTGAAATAATAATAGAATGAAAAATTACTGGTCTGTAAATTACAAAACGGTAGGATTCAACAATATATCTTTTTTTCTTTTTCTTTTTTTTAAAAGTATTGAGTCTAATTGACGTTAGTTGTCTTTCGTTAGTTTGTTTTATGTAAATAGAACCGAAGATTTCTCTGCGAATGGTAGTATGATATGACTGACTTTAGAATTGAGATAATTTCCTCTTACTCTTAATGCTTTTGTACAAAATAAATTACTCTTCAGGTATTGAACCGGTTTGATATACTCTCTGGTCAACAAAGGTAAAGTGCAATATGAAAAAAATGCATACCTATTTATTAAGCTGTTGTGTCTTTTTATTTATAGGACAGAGAAGAATATATGTTACCTATGATTATAAAAAGAATCTTTGATAAGATCATAAAAATAATAAGAAATTAAGAATCAGAAATGATAAGGATTATCTAACATCACAAAAATGATAAGAATGACGAAGATGATATTGATTAAGAGTTTAAGACCAAGTAGCTATGATCTTGAGAGATTGCATGCAATCTCTTAGATTGCCATTATTAGCATTTATTATGATGCTGTATTGGCGGTGCGAGTGGATCCTCTCATGTGAAAAAGTGGTTATGTGGTCATGTTATTTGATCATAATAACTCATTTAAAAATTATACATTTTTCTTTCTCTTATCTCATAATCAATAAGTGATTGTGATCAAATAACATGATCACATGATCACTTTTTCACATGAGAGGATCCATTGCCATGAACGATGTCATGGGTCCGTATATTGGCCCAAGGATACTTTGATATAATCTTTTTATTTTAATCTTCAAAAGATATAAAAAAAATAGATTAATCATTATAAAAAAATATATTAAACAAATTATATTTTTTCTTGATATTTGTAAATAAGTTTTGAAAAAAGTAGATTCACGTGTAGCCACCATTCCTTTCTCGGTGAATTAGCCACGAAGGCAAACAAATTAATAACCATTTTAACGACTTCCAAACATAATTCACCCAGAAAAGAATAATAATTTTAGAGATGTAATTTTTATTTTTATTTTGGATAACAGAGCAAAAGATTAGAGATGTAATTTTAGTTACTACGAATGCGAGCTCAAAACACGATAGCTGTTAGTGTAGTTTGAGTTTTCCATATAAAATTGTAAATAATTTAAAACATCTATAAGTAATGCAAACACTCATGATTTACTCACAAAGTAGGTATTGTAAATACACTATATTTTAACGAAAAATATAAAAAGTCATCAACAAAGGCATAAATATTATAACTATATACTGTAAACCAATATATTAAAAGAATGACTGTTCCAAAAGACTTCGAATAATTTATTTGAGCAAATTTCGTGGGAACTTGGGGAGGTTATGAATTCCAAGTTTGAGCGTGTCGGCAAGAAAACAAGCCGCATATTTGCATTTTTAACTCTATCATTAAATAATTAATTCAACCTAAAATTTTAACTTAATAGGTAAGATTATAATATTTTTTTTTAAGAAAAGTTCATCAATGTGCCTACTCTAGGATCATCTATGTCTTTGTGATTTTCTTATCACATATGTCTTTATAGTTTGCAAAAAAGTATATTTTTTTATTACATATTTTCCTGTGATTTTTTATCTTTTACAAACCACAAAGATATATGTGCCAAAAAAAATTACAGAGGCATAGATTAGGGCATTGATGAATTTTTTCTAATTTTTTTTTTATATTTTTCTAACATATCCGTTCATTGAGTGTCCATTGGATTTGAAGGGGATTGATGCATTAGATTTAGTCTATAAGTATTAAGAAATTGCATACTATTTAAATATTTTTATTAATAGAATAAAAGCAGTGATCGAACTAGTAAGTCATAACCACTTATTACATCGGCTCTGATTTCATATATATAAAGAACTAATTCAACTCAAAATTTGTTAGGTAGAATTACATTACTGATTTTTTTATATTTATATAACTATTTGATTTTTTCACTATTATGAATAGGGAGAAGAAATTATTTTATTTTAAAAGAAATAACTTTTGAAGGAAGAAAACACATCCAAACAAACCAATTTGTTATTTAAGTGAAGTCTCTGTTCTATTGGTAAACAAAAGAAAAGCAGGAGCCAAGCTTTCGATTTGTCAATGGTTTCAACCTTTTAGGTGGGAAATTATGCGGATAATGCATGGGACCCATATTATTTAACTGGCATTGGCAGGGAATCATATTAATTAATGGTAAATGGTGACAACCATGCATTTGGAAAATGTAGATTGAAAAATCTTACACTTAAATATTAAATATATGTTGCCCTATTAAATAAATGATTATACTTATATAATGTTACATAAAAAATACTATTTGGTCTTACACAAACATAAAAGAAGAGAGAGAAAATGAGTTGAGGAAAGAGAAAATAAAAAATTGTGGACCCCACGTCTATTTGTTCGAGTAAAAAACTTACGTCATGTTACCTAATAGATGTATTTCTCTTAAATAAATGATACACTTTTGGCAAATCCAATACTGTTTGGCTGCTTTTAGAGATAAGCAAACAGTAATTTTAACTCATTTATATATCACTGGAATAGACAGTAAGAATGAGATCATTATTGCATAAAAATAAAATAAAATAAAAGGAAAATTATATTCTTATGTTACATAAGATTCATCTCTCATGTTACACTCACATAAAAAAATGTGCCTCATTTTTTAAAAAAAAAATTGGTAGATTCCATTTAATTTATCTCACAATATAAGATAATTTCTCTCCGACATAAGAGAAGTAAAGCCCAAAATAAAATGATAAAATCGAATAAAAGGATAAGAGAGTGTAACAGCAACGGTTAACCTAACACTGAAGTCAAGACTCAAAGACTAGTTTTACGTCACTCAGCAAGGAGAGAGTATTTGGTGAGGCGGAAATATGATAGTCCCTTCCAAAATGAAAAAAAAGTAAAGATTGAGAGGAAAAAAACCAAAAAAAAAAAAAAAGTAAAAATGAAAGAAAAATTCCTATTTATAATAAAGGGAAATAATTTTTTTATGTTGTAGGAAAATACTTATCTTATGTTGTAGAAATAAGATTGCAAGTGGGACCCATAGGTAAGAGGAGAGAAAAAAAAGAAATGGGACCCACCTAACTTTTGTGTGTAAAAAATGTAGTTATCTTATGTAAAAGTAGATAAATATAATCCTATAATAAAAGACCATTGAATAAATAACGGACGCTAGCATAATAAATTTTTTCCTCCGCAAAAAGTTTTTCTGCACCGCCCATTTCTCAGATGTTACCCTTAGGCCTTACCCATAACGAAGAGAAGTACGATGTGACCTTCCCAACAGTACAGTACATGCTACACATCTGACATCCCATTTCACACTCCAATAATAAATAAATAGAAGTTATAATTTTATAAGAAGAAAGTCCTTTACTGGTCCATTTCTACTTTGTCAAATTTTTTTAATTTTTTTTCTCATTTAAGCGATTATTATCATCTATTTTGTACTAAAATTGACACAGGATACAAAACATAACATAATACGACACATTAATATATTAATTCTAAAAATTATTAAATTTTAATATATTAAAACATATTTTGATATTAAATAATATTTTTAATATATAATATAGTTTATATTTAATATATATAGTAATTCATAATAAATTATATAATCAATTATATATTTAAATTTCATAATATAAATGTAAAAAAAAGAAATTTTATGTCTGTTAATTTTTTAGTTTAAATTTTATAATAGAAAATATTTAATTTATAAATTAATTTTTTATATTTAATTAAAAAGTAAAATAAAATTTAAATAAAAAAATATTAACTATATATCAAATACGTGTTGAAATGTATTGTTGTCCAACACAATTTTTTTTATTTTCAAAAGGGCGTGTTCGTGCATCAGATATTTTCGAGGATGATAGATTTTGTTGGTTTTAATGTCTTTTCCAAGAACACAGTCTCACCGTGTAAACGTCTAATCAAG